GTTGCCAATGTTCCCTCTAAGCTATGGAGTCTTGTGAGCAACAATTCAACTTTGTGAACTACTGGCATTAAAGTTGTGAGCGAGCGATTTGGCTACTGCATAAATCAGTTTGCTTTGGAGCCATCCTTCCTGAGCTAAGACAAATATGCGTGAGCCAGAGGCTATAATACTGTGAGCTAGCTCACACTAACTCAGCTTAGAGGGAACACTGGTTGTGACAACGGCAGAACCATGCCACTGCAAGCGCCGTCAGTGCATGAGCTGGCCACACCTTCCCAACTGTGCTGCAGTTCATCAGTGGCATCCAAAAGAGACAGTGAGCCCGTGACCACCCGCCAGCCCCCGCTGGCTGCTGCTGAAGATAAACGACCTTTTTTTCTAAGCCCTCTAAGTGAAGCCCTTTGGGACCGGGGTGGGGGAGGAGTCTGCAGCCCGTTTACCTGGGGTCTGGAAATTGATGCGTCTCATCTCCACGGGATCTTTGGGGTGGTGCGGGGTGATCTCGGCGTTGTTCAGCATGCACTTGATCCTTGGCTCAGAGTCTTTCCGTTTACTTATGAGGAGGAGGAGAAAGAAGGGGAAGGAAAATGAAGAGAGAGTAAAAAGGCAGCTTTTTTCAGACACAGGGACTTCTAGCTATGCTTCAGGCTGTGCCGCTGGTACCCAACAATTCCTGTCGCAAGGAAGGTCGTACCCTACAAACTGCAAAAATCTTCAGTTTATCTGTGCAGTCTTTCAAAAGCTATCCAAGCCTGATAGCTGAAACATACTTGTTTCAGAATTAAAACTGGAAGTATGTTGGCCCTCGGAAGGGTGCAGGTCATTGTCCTGATTCGTAAGGAGGCATGTCCTGGGCAGAGACTCGCGCAGAGACAAAAGGCAGACCCCCTCTGAGCGCGGGTAAGTCTGCTGCCTGTCTGATTTAGAAACAGTTGCACGATCCAGTCAGACCCCACACAAAGACGTGACAAATTTGCTCAGCCCAGATGGAGACAGGGTCAGAGGAGGCAAGTTGGAGCAATAAATCAAGCAGAGACACTACAGGCAGCATCTTCTGCGAGGAACCTTTAATTAATTGACTCATTTCTCTCGTGGCCCACACAGTTTGGAGATTACTGAGCCAAACAGCTGCTGTCACCACATCTCATGGCGCTGAATTCCAGAACTCCACTGCTATTTATTTTTATTCTACACTGTTTATATTGATATATGTTTCACCTCTCTGTGCATTGAAGACACCTTAAAATGGAAGATGGGGGGAAATGACACACACAATGACCGTAAAACACACAATGATTGTAAAAGATACAAACACAAGCAAAACCACAGGAACACCAGGCCACAAAAACCTAAGATAAAGGTAAGTAATAACTGAAACAATCCATTAACACAGCCGTTCAGTAAGTCCAACCTTTACCCCCCCCCGCCTCAAAAGGCCTGCAAAAAAAGTAGGGCTTATAGTGTATGCATTGTGAAGAGGGGGGGGGGAAAGCAAACCACTTTTATTTTCCCTGTGAACCAACTACAAATCCAGTTCCTGGGCTTATGCCAAATTCCTTGACAAGAACATATTTCTCCCTATCCGCTTTCCCCACACAACGCATAGTTTTATAATCTACATTCCAAGGAGCCTCTTCAGTGGTGACCCCTGCCCCCTAGGCTTGAACGTCTTCTAAGAACTTTGGGCTTGGGTTAGTTTTACTTGGGGGTTCAACCTGGCTGGCATTTTTTAAAGCACTGGCAACAGTTTAGCAATGCAGTTAGTTGTTGTAGCAATCCAGTGTTGGGAATTTTATTGCTACATTTATTCTGCTTATTGCTTTTCAGTTCTCAAAGCACCCCCAAACTACCATCAGTACCAGAAATCCAGAGCAGACACCAAGCCTTTTAAACTCTTACCTGTCTGGCTTGCTGTCCGGGAAAACGATAAAGAAGCAGGAGGGAGAAAAGACAAACGTGAGGATTAGCAAGGGAGTGGTAGACATGAGGAGCTATTCCCAACCCTCCCCTAGTTTCCCCTTGCGAAAACCAAGCATCTCAGCCAACTGGGGAAAGTATCTCCTTTCCTAGGCTTGGTGGAACTGTTCACAATGATTCATGCTTCTGTAACTGCAGGACTAGACTACTACAGTGTGCTCTATGTTGGGCCACCCACTGGATGCCAAAAAGCTACACTGGATGCCAAAAGGGACAGTTTGTCTACTGGTTATAGCATGCTCATTAGAACACTGACACTGGTTACCAGTATGTTCTGGGACACAACTCAAGGTGCTCATTTTGACTGAAGATATATGCAGTGTGGGACCCCTTACCTGACAGCCCATCTTTCCCATTCATGAGCCTGTTCGTTGTCTTAGATCCTCCCAGGGCCATTGACTTACATCCCCCCTCCTGGCTGGGCCTCCCTTCAAACTGTCCAGCGGGCCAGGGCACAAGGTCTCAGGGTCACTCTTCTGGTGGCATCTGCCAGGGCTATTTTTGGGCAGGAACGCACAGGAACGGAGTTCCGGCTGGCTCCCGAGTTGGCCACGCCCAGCAGGAACTCATTAGCATAATAGGCCACACCCAAAAGCAGAAACTCATTCGGATTGGCTACATTAGGGGTGTGTGGCCTAACATGCAAAGGAGTTCCTGCTACAAAAGACAACAAACAAGGTAAACAGAATAAGAAGCAAAAGGTGGGTGTGGCTGGATGACCACACTTCTGGTAACATGGGGGTGCGGCCTAATATGCTAATGAGTGGTGCAATCAGGGATGTGGCCTAATATGCTAATGAGTTTTCTGCTGCTGGGTGTGGCCTATTATGCTAATGAGTTCCTGCTGGACGTTTTCTACAAAAAAAGCCCTGGGCATCTCCAACATTCTGGGACACACTCCCTTATGGAAGTGTGGAGGACTCCTACGCTATTTGCTTTACGCATCATCAGGTGGCTTTTATTTTTATAATGGTTTGTCTTCAGCTTTAATTGTTTGTTTAACATCTAAACCTCTTAACAAATAAGCAAACCAGGAAGTTGGAAGGGCAGGGGACCTTGTTCCACATCACACACATTCTCCTGTTTCGTACAGGTGTACCTTGGGATGCTGCCTCTTTTCTCCCCGTGCGGTTAACTTCTAGTGTGAGCCGGGTGCTCATTTAACATCTAGCCTCTTTGGTATCCCACCTTTCTCCCCAGCAGAGACCCAAAGTGGCTCACAACATTCCCACCTTCTCAGTTTTATCCCTGTGAGGTAGGTTTGGCTGAGAGTGTGTGACTGGATTCGATTCAGGGTCTGTCTCCCAAATCCTAGTCTAACACTATAGCCGCTTGGAATCTCTTCGAGACCTTGTGGCGTGACATAGTTGGTTATAAGGCATTTCCTAGGTTTTCTGCCCTGTCGCTTTGTGTTTGATCTAGGGTACCACTCCTTAGAGAGGGTGGGCACACTAAACCCCCCCGGTGGGGGGAGGTGTTAGCCGGTGAAATGGAATGTCCAGCTCGTAAGCTCGGAAGCCTGGAAAGATCTCCTCGGCATCAAGAAGCCTACGATGGGCCGATCCGGCCAGGCGGTGGCAGTGCGGCGCTGCGACCTGAAGCAGTCCTGGAAAAAGCTGACGTCATCAAGCCAAGCCGAGTGAATGCCGTCTGGAACACGTCTAAGCCTACAGCTGAACAAAATCCCCGTTGGCTGCAAAACATGTGCGACTTAAAAAAAAAGAATTATATGTTGTCCTCCGTGTGAATATTTGTAACTGTAAATCGCTCTGAGCCAGCTGCTCTGCAGGATTGAGCAATTAATAAATCAAAATATATTATTATTATTATTATTATTTTTATTATTATTGCCCTAGAAGGATACCGTCTCAGTGGGTCAGTCTAGATGTTCTCAGGAGATCCCTGAGTGGTGACAACTAGTTACCAGGGTGCTTTCCAGGAAACCCTTGTCCTAAGGGAGTTTATTAAGAAAGAAATTATTATTATTACGGATGATTCCTTGGTGGGAAACTTCTGTAATACACTTCCTTTTGGTGTAGTGATTTAAGAGCGGCGGACTCTAATCTGGGAGAACCGGGTTTGATTCCCCACTCCTCCACATGCAGCCAGCTGGGTGACCTTGGGTCAGTCACAGTTCTCTTAGAGCTGTTTTCTCAAGAAAAGAAGAGCTCTCTCAGCCCCACCTACCTCACAGTGTATCAGTTGTGGGGTGAAGAAGGGAAGGAGATTGTAAGCCGCTCTGAGACTCCGAGTGAAAGGTGGGATATAAATCCAATCTCTTCTTCTTCTTAATTTCTTTCGTAATGCTCTCCGTTTTGGAAAGGGAAGAATCAGGCGGGATTGAGACTGCACAACTGGGTGTGCGCAGAACCGCAAAAGCACACCTCATAGCCAATGCTCCTGCTAAGATGTGGATTCTTGTGAGCAAAAATTCTACCTTGTGAGCTACTGGCATTAAAGTTGTGAGCGAGCAATTTGGCTGCTGCATCAATGAGTTTGCTCTGGAGCCCTCCTTCCTGAGCTAAGACAAAAATGTGCAATCCGGAGGCTAAAAAACTGTGAGCTGGCTCACACCAACTCGGCTTAGAGGGAACGGTGCTCATAGCAAAAGTATGGCTGGGGGGCGGCTACAGAGGCTGAACTTGCTCTTCAACTTTGCAAGTATCATCACCAACAACAACCCTCCCCACCGGCAAATGTCAGAAGTGGGATAAGCAAAAGCCAGGTATCTAATCCTCCAAAGGATATTTCTTCCAAAAAGCACGAGGCTGCTCCTGATGCCTTACAGTGGGATACCACCAGGGCTATTTTTGGGCAGGAACGCACAGGAACGGAGTTCCGGCTGGCTCCCAAGTTGGCCACACCCAGCAGAAACTCATTAGCATAATAGGCCACACCCAACATCAGAAACTCATTAGGATTGGCTACATTAGGGGTGTGTGGCCTAACATGCAGAGGAGTTCCTGCAACAAAAAAGGCCCTGGGTTTGGACAACAAACAAGGTAAACAGAATAAGAAGCAAAAGGTGGGTGTGGCTGGATGAGCACACTTCTGGTAACATGGGGGTGTGGCCTAATATGCAAATGAGGTGTGCTGTCAGGGGTGTGGCCTAATATGCTATTAAGTTTCTTCTGTTGGGTGTGGCCTATTATGCTAATGAGTTCCTGCTGGGCTTTTTCCACAAAAAAAAGCCCTGGATACCACCACCGCCCCCCCAGCCCCCCTTGGACAGCCAGCAGTGTACAGGGAATACACACAGGCTGGAGAGATAAACACACAGCCTCACCCACCCACCCACTTACTTTTTGTACAGAAGGATGGCGATGACGATGCAGATGATGAAGACCACGGCCAAGACCGGCCCGATTACCCAGATCAAGCCTTCCTCTCCGTCTATCTTCGGCTGCGGGTCGGGGTTGTCTATCTGGAATGGGTCCGAGAAGGGGCTGGCTGCGTATGTCTGGAAGAGAGAGGTGAAACGGAGCAGGCTGAGAATGGAACCGGGAGAGGAGAGAAGAAGCCGGTGTTTTGTAAGGCTGCAGAGGAAGAGGCTAAATGTGGGGTGGGGGAGCTGTTTTCAACCCACCCGCACCTTCCTTTAAAACAAGTGGTTGCACATAATGCACATTAGGGTTAAATGAGCGGCGCAGGAGGGCTGCTGTCCTGTGGCACCTTAAAAGCTAACAGGTATGTTATAGCACAAGAGAAGTTAGCTGTGTTAAGTCTGTTGCTGCAAAATAGTAAAAAGCCCAGTAGCCCCTTTAAGACTAACAAACTTTATTGTAGCATAAGCTTTCGAGAAACACAGCTCTCTTCGTCATCCGACGAACAAACTTTATTCTAGCATAAGCTTTCGAGAAACACAGCTCTCTTTGTCATCCGACGGACAACCTTTATTGTAGCATAAGCTTTCGAGAAACACAGCTCTCTTCATCATCTGACGAACAAACCTTATTGTAGTATAAGCTTTCGAGAAACATAGCTCTTTTTTTCATGATGAACAAACTTTATTGTAGCATAAGCTTTCGAGAAGCACAGCTCTGTCATCTAACAAACTTTTTTGTAGCATAAACCTTTGAGAAACACAGCTCTCTTCGTCATCTGACGAACAAACTTTATTGTAGTATAAGCTTTCGAGAAACATAGCTCTTTTTTCATGATGAACAAACTTTATTGTAGCATAAGCTTTCAAGAAACACAGCTCTCTTCGTCATCTGACAAACAAACTTTATTGTAGCATAAGCTTTCGAGAAACATAGCTCTTTTTTCATGATGAACGAACTTTATTGTAGCATAAGCTTTCGAGAAACGCAGCTCTCTTTGTCATCCGACGAACAAACTTTATTCTAGCATAAGCTTTCGAGAAACACAGCTCTCTTTGTCATCCGACGGACAACCTTTATTGTAGCATAAGCTTTCGAGAAACACAGCTCTCTTCGTCATCCGACGAACAAACTTTATTGTAGCATAAGCTTTCGAGGAACACAGCTCTCTTTGTCATCCGATGAACAAACTTTATTGTAGCATAAGCTTTCGAGAAACACAGCTCTCTTTGTCATCTGACAAACAAACTTTATTGTAGAATAAGCTTTCGAGGAACACAGCTCTCTTTGTCATCTGACGAAGAGAGCTGTGTTTCTCGAATGCTTATGCTACAATAAAGTTTGTTAGTCTTAAAGGTGCTACTGGGCTTTTGACTATGTTATAGCACAAACTTTTGTGAGCACACGACGTGCTGTGCATTTGTTAGCCTTTATAGATCTGCAGCAGGGGACGACGATGATTGTGCAGCTACCCCTCCGAGTGGGTAACCCCCTTGGTTTTCAGCCCCCAACCACCAGTTTACCTAAATAAATAAATGAAACAATAAATACCATCAAAAACCTTGCTGCACCTGCCTACCCCTGCCAGCTTAGGATAACATTTTGTCCGTCTAACGAAGAAAGCTGCAGTCCCCGGTGGCGTCCGTAACAGAGCCCTGCTCTCTTCCAAGGGGCCAGGAAAGCCTTGCTGGTCTCCGCCCCACTGCAGTGCTAGCAGTCCTAACCTGAGATTTATGTTTTTTTGTTTTTATGCATTTAATGCATTCTGTTTGATGAATTTTATCTGCCTTGTAAGCCCCCTTGAGTTCCGTAAGGAAGAAAGGCAACGAATGAATGCTTTAAGCAAAATAAAGAGGACATAAAATAAAACGGAACAACGTCCGAGTCCAGTGACACCTTTAAAACCAGCAAAGTTTAATTCTGGGTATAAGCTTTCGTGTGCATGCTAATCTGAGGACTAGGGAGAAACTACCCATAGTCTACTGTGCATCCCACATGAATACAATCTTTCCCCTGTGCCCCAGAAAAGCTGTATGAAGTGGAAAAGCGGAAAAGTCCAGTAGGACCTTACAAACAAAGTTTGTGGCAAGGTATGAGCTTTTGGGAGTCGCTGCTCACTTCTTCAGATACTCGTACCTGAAGCAGTGAGCAGTGACTCAGGAATGTTCCTCCTCGCCACAAATTTTGTTTAGTCTTTAAGGTGCTCCTGGACTCTTTCTCTTTTCTGCTGCTAAAGACAGACTAACTCAGCTACCCATCTTGATCTATCGGGTGGTTCAGAAAAGCTCACGCCCTGCCCCAAATTTTGTTCAGTCTTTCAGGTGCTCCTGGACTCTTGCTCTTTCCTCCTGCTACAGACAGACTAGCGTGGCTACCCAGCTTGATCTGACTCAGTCAAGGAACTGCAAAAAACAAGGGGCAGCAGTATGACAATATCAGTATACAAAAGAATTACTGCAACAGTGCAAAGATGAAAACCTCACAGATGTTGTACATAATATATAGTCACTTCATGGTGTTTATTCTTTTCACAGAAGGACGTCAACAGACAGTCATTGAAGAAGGACGAACTTCCCCAGAGCTAATCGTTCGTTTCGAACTCTCTTTATCAAACAACAGTCTCAGTTCTGAATCCAAACATCACGAAACCTTTTCATAATAAACTCTTTCCAGTTCAATGCATAATTTCAAAAACTTCACAGCAGAATGAATAAACCGGCATTGAACTGGAAAGAGTTTATTATGAAAAGGTCTCGTGATGTTTGGATTCAGAACTGAGACTGTTGTTTGATAAAGAGAGTTCAAAACGAACGATTAGCTCTGGGGAAGTTCGTCCTTCTTCAATGACTGTCTGTTGACGTCCTTCAGTCAAGGAACTCACAGCCTTCATTTGCAAGACCAGAGCAAAGTTGTTAATAATAGGACTTTTTGGAGGTCACCCATTTAGAGAGAAGAGCAAGAGTCCAGTATCTGAAGAAGGGAGCAGTGACTCACAAATTTTGTTCATCTTTAAGGTGCTGCGGGGACCTTGCTCTTTTCTACTGCTTTGTTGTTCAGTCGCACAGTCCAGTCCGACTCTTCGCGACCCCATGGACCCCCTGCCTACTCAAAAGGTTCCAGATCCACAGATCACTCAAGTGAAGTACATCTAGTTCCATGCTTTCAGGCGTATCTTCCTGGTCATAAAAGGTCTAGAAACCTTCAAAAAGCAAAGCAGGACAGCATCCTCTAGTTCCCCTTGAACAGCTGTGGAATCATGGCCTGCTAACAGCCCTCTGTAACACGGAGGGGGCCGGCAGGCTTTCTAGAGACCCACTCTGGGGAAATCTCTCTTGTTCATAGATTTAGACCGCCTAATGGGAAGGGATATGAGTCCAGGTCTTCCGGGTTCAGGTGTGATGCTTTCAACACTGCCCTTGCTCACAAATAAAACATGATGACGTGCCGGGCTCCGAGCTCCACGGAAGCACACAGCACTGCTTCCAGGCCGAGCGCATCGCGCATGAATGCATGAACAGAGCCGTGGCCTCTTCTACAACCTAGAAATAGCGAGACAAGTTAATCCGCCGGGGAAATCCTCTCCACAGGCGTGTCGACCTAATCCTTTTAATGTTAAAATATAAAACCAACTGTTTATTTAAAAAACACAGAAAAGAGGGGGGAAAGAGGCTTCTCTCTCTTGAAAGTCACAACAATAACCGGGTTAAAATGATATGGGGAGATTTAAAAAGGGGGAGGACAAAAAATGACAACTGGTACATTCTGTGTGGGGAAAGCCAGGCACTGATCTGCATTCTACTGAAAGACGCTCACTTCATAATAAAGACACAAATAATATCTTCAGAGCTGCAGGGCTGTTCTGAAAATGCTGTCACCGTGTTCAAGACAAACATACCCGTCCTCTCCAAAGCTGAGCTCCAAAAACATTTTGCAAAGTTTTTAATGGAAGCAGCTTGTGCACCAGTCGGAAGGTATTGGCTGGTGTCTGTGCCATCAACCAAAAAGCCTGCTTCAGAGCAGTTTTCAGCTTTACAGGGTTTGTTTTTTTAAAAAAGTATTTTATACATGTAAAACATTTATCAGTTGCCTTTCTACCTTGCGACGCTCAAGGAGGCTTATGATATAAACAAAACAACGGTTATAAAACACATGCAAGACAACAGTTTAAAATCTCAGTCAGGACTGCCAATAAATAAAAACTAAATTAGTCAAATGCCATCCTAAATAAAACCGTCTTCAGCTGCCTCCTGAAGTTCGAAAGTGAGGGGGCCATGTGCACCTCCATGGGGAGGTTGCTTCAAAAATGTGGGGCTGCTGCTGAAAAGGCCCTGTCTTGTGGGCTCAACAGAGACGCTTCTTTGATTGGCGGGACAGTCAGGAGGGCTTCTCCTTGTGATCTTAATTCCTGGGCAGGAACATATTAATACATGACTAAGGTGAAAGATAAGATGATAAATAAGCCTTTTCGGTGGCGGCTCCTACCTGGTGGAACGAGCTCCCGGAGGAGATCAGGGCCCTGCGGGACCTTGCACAGTTCCGCAGGGCCTGTAAGACGGAGCTCTTCCATCAGGCTTTTGAGTAGGAGCCGCCACTACCACCAACAACAACGACTTCGGAAACAGCGGGGTATGGGAGCGACCCTGTGACGATCAAACTGCAGCACTATGGCGTGTGGATACCACTGAGTTGAGATCTGACTGAACTCCAGATACCATCTGAAATTGAACACTATGCATCTGAAATATGATAAATAAATATTGAATGCACTTTACTTTGTAATATTGGTATCATGTTTTTACTTTGTTTTGATGTATTTGGCACGTGTGCCCTGATGTTAGCCGCACTGAGCCCACTTGCAGGGAGGGCGGCCTAGAAATCGAATGATAAATAAATACATAAAAATAAACGTTCATGCTACCCTCTGAAAGTTTTTTAAAAAGCAAGTTAGCCCGCCTAAAGACCGACAGCCAAGCCAGTGTTCTGATTCGGTGGCACGGAGCACGTCACCAAGTATTCTTTTTGACATTATGTTTCACTTCACTTTGGGTAACTTCGGACGAGAGACGGCAGGAAGGAGATGGGACTTACCGCTTCTGTATTCCGAAGCACCGCCAGGACGAAAACGACATACTTCTGCCCTGCCTCCAGGGGCTTGTTCTCAAACCCGTCGTAATGCTTCATATCCCCGAGGGTGAAGTGGCTAGGCAGCAAGAGGAAGCGGGCAGCGATGTACGGCTTGTGGAGGTCCAGCTGGCGGGAATGGCGGAGGCTGCGGCGCTGCAGTCTGGAGATGTCCTGGATCAACTGGGGTGGGGTGGGGTGGGGGGAAGAGACCAACATGAGCAACAAGCAGTGCAGGAAACCGAAGCTTCCTCCCACCGTGCCCCAGTTTCACCCAGCACTGCCCACCCGCTGTCAGGCTCTTGAACAGAGGTACTCTCAATAACACTCTCTGGTTAGTGATTTGTTTATCGAGAGATGTGCATGTATCAAGCTAAGACTAGTCGTGTCAGAACTGACCCTGTCGGTGCCAGTTCTGGAATTATACATGATTCAAACAAGCCCCCCCCCGTGACCCGTGCAGTCAATCCATCCATTCAGCCCGCCTAAATCCAGCACGTACCGTTAAACCTCCTCTCCCACCTGCAAAGCTAAGGTTTTTTTATGTAAGGCAGGCTGGCTAGCAGAGACAAGCAATCAAGGTCATTCGCATACTTCCCAGATGGGAGACTTCTTAAGAAAGTTACCATGCAGCAGAGCGAAACACTTGCAGTGGAGCGAAGCACTTTCTCACACGCGCACTCACACCAGGTACCCCCCCTCATACCCAGATACAGGAGATGAAGATGGAACATGACAAACGAGGCCCCAAGTTTGCCACCTGCTCCCAAGTCTTGTACCTTCACAACAGTAAGGACTAGAAACATGCAGGGCTCAGAAGACTGGAGGTCATGTAGATATGAATAGGTCTTTGTACAATTAGATGCAGGGCCTCTTAGAATTAATAAAGGCTCCTAAGGTTTTTGTCCTGGGGGGGGGGGGCATTTCTAACACAAGAGTTTCGTTTAAACCAGTTTGATTTTGCTCCTCTTTGTACGCCCGCCCCCCACACATTAGGAAGAAGTCTGGTAAAAATTTCTGCAGGACAGCTGTGTTTCGGAGACTGCCGGAAGAGGCCAGGTTTGTAGGGCAGCGGGGCTGTTCCGAAAACAAGGCTTTCAGGGGTCAGCACCCTTAAGCCCCAAGTGGTCCCGAAGGGCTCCCTGCATCCTGGAGCAACTTTTGCCCCCCCCCGCACCTGTCACTCATCTGGCCACACACTTGATCACTCCCTCTCCCAGAGTAGGCGGTGGCACCCCCTCCGTGTTGCCTGTTCTGCTGGCCATTGGTTCTCTGAGTGAGCAGGGCAGCAAGGGCAGGATCGAGTAGAAGTTACTGCTATGCCAAGGGGCACACCATTGAGGGGAGGGGGCAGGGGGAGTCTTGCCTGAGAGCTCTCCCCAAATTTATAGTCAGCTCTCCTGGGAAGCCCCTTGGGGTGTTCAAAAAATCAATTGAAAGGCCCTCTTTCCTGTCCACGTGGTTTGGGGGGGGGGGAAGAGAGCCCACTTTGGGGAAGAGGGAGAAGAGATTACAACCCAGCTGGTGGGGAGAGGAGAAGGAGGAAGAAGAGTCCACCAGGGTGACGCCCCATTGACCCTTCTTTTCATTTACTGTCTTTGCTTTGTTTATACCCAACCTTCCCCCCCCAACGGGAACCCAAAGGGGCTGCTCCTCATTCTTCTCCCCTCCATTTTAAAGCAGCTCCCATTATTCTCCTCCCCTCCATTTTATCCTCCTGACAACCGTGTGATGGAGGTTAGGCTGAGAGTGTAGTGCAGTGGTTAAGTGCGCGGACTCTAATCTGGGAGAACCGGGTTTGATTCCCCACTCCTCCACTCGCAGCTGCTGGATGACCTTGGGCAAGCCATAGTTCTGATAAGAGCTGTCCTTGAAAAAGAGCAGTTCTCAGTCAGAGCTCTCTCAGCCCCACCTACCTCAAAGGGTGCCTGTTGTGGGGAGGGGAAGGGAAAGGAGTTTGTAAGTTGCTCTGAGACTCCTTTGGGTAGTGAAGGGCAGGGTACAAATCCAATCTCCTCCTCTTCTTCATCTTCTTTGCCTAAAGTCACCCAGCATGCTTCCAGGGCAGAGCGGGGAAGAGAACCTGGAGTTTCTCAGATCCTAGTCCTAGAGTAGGTTTTTATAAGCCACTCTTCTGTACCTTAAGGAGTCTCAAAGTAGCTCGAAATTGCCCTCCCTTCCTCTCCCCACAACAGGCACCTTGTGAGGCAGCTGGAGCTGAGAGAGTTTGGAGAGAACTGTGGCTGGCCCAAGGTCACCCAGCAGACCTCACGTGTCTCAAAGCAGCTTACAATCGCCTTCCCTTCCTCTCCCCACAAGGGGCACACCTTGTGAGGTAGGTGGGGCTGAGGGCGTTCTGCGAGCACGGTGAGTGAACCAAAGTCACCCAACTGGCTTCACGTGGAGGAGGAGTGGGGAATCGAACCCGGCTCTCCACATTAGAGGCTACTGCTCTTAACCGCTACACCACACTGCCTCTCTTTTGGGTAGGCAATCCGCCCTAGAGAATGAGGAGGGCATGCGGCCAACTTGTGTTCTGGAGAAGGGCCAAAGAGCCAGCGTTCAGTCATCAAGAGGAATGGCCTATGGATTCTCTGCGATGACCCAGAGGATGCTGGGATGCAGCACCGGCTACTGCACGCCCCGTCCCACCCCCACCTCCTGGCTGCACCGATGAGGATGGCAACATGTCTTAGGCCAGCCCAAACATAGCGTTGGTGTTTCAGAGTTAGTCAAAGCAGGATCCCCCCCCCGCCCGGTCCCCCCAAAAAAGAACAACCACCACCCACCTCTTCCAAGTCCATTTCTTCAGGGCTGTTGTATGGATTCTGGAACTGCCCACTCCGGGATTTCTTTAAGGGGACCACCACTAGGTAATAAGCTCTGAGAATCAGAAACAAAAGAAACCAGGATGGAGAGGGTGTGAAGAAGAGAGAACAAGAAGGCATGAAAGGTACTAATAAAACTGATGAGTAAGACTAAGGGAGCAACTAAACACTGGAAGGAACAGGGCTGATGGAAACGTCCCCTCTGCATGGAGTAAGCCCCCTTTGCCTCCATAACATCTAGCGCTAATGGTTATGTCCAGGGCTATTTTTGGGCAGGAACGCACAGGAACGGAGTTCCGGCTGGCTCCCAAGTTTGCGACACCCAGCAGGAACTCATTAGCATAATAGGCCACACCCAACAGCAGAAACTCATTAGGATTGGCTACATTAGGGGTGTGTGGCCTAACATGCAAAGGAGTTCCTGCTACAAAAAAGCCCTGGGTTTTGACAACAAACAAGGTAAACAGAATAAGAAGCAAAAGGTGGGTGTGGCTGGATGAGCACACTTCTGGTAACATGGAGGTGTAGCCTAATATGCCAATGAGTTGCGCTGTCAGAGGTGTGGCCTAATATGCTAATGAGTTCCTGCTGTTGGGTGTGGCCTATTATGCTAATGAGTTCATGCTGGGCTTTTTCTACAAAAAAGCCCTGGTTATGTCAGATGATAACCGTACACATAAGTCCTTTTTGTTGGTCTTGTTATCCTACATGGCCTTTTTAATTAATAGGTTGATACTTATCAAGCTGATCTTGTATCGAAATACACTGAACTGAGCATATTATTTCATTCACACACACACACACCCCAATTTCAACGTACAGGCTGTTTTCCCACTACGGTCGCCAGCAGTGGATGCCACCACACTGTCTTTCCCCCGTCTCATTGTTCTGCATCGTTGGCTACCACTAGCATCCGGGGTCTCTGCATTCCCCAAATCGGGCTCCCTCTGCACATATGTGGCTCTGCTCTCCCTGCCACGACAATCCACTTTATGTAGCATAGTCGGGGGTGCCACACTCCCCCCAGAACTGAAACAGCAGGGTTATTGCCTTGAGACAGACTTCAGCAGAACCTCCAAGTCCAAAGGCGGGCCTGTTGTAGGGGAAACAAGATGCTGAACCAGAGAGAGGCTTAGTCTGATCCAGCAACACTGTTTCGTGTTTGCAGAAGGCCCCTTGCTGATTTCTCACCAGTTCTTGTTGAACGTGTTTCAATGTTCTCAGGCACCAACCTTGGAAAGTGGGGAGGTTCAAGAACTTCTGGTTATGCCCCCCCCCCTAAATCTACATATAAACTCAGCAGGTCTGGCTCATGTCCCCTCTCCACCCCTGTGGCATCAAACTTGGAAAGAGCCCAACTTGTTTCGACAGAGCCCAACCTACAATTCAGATAGCTTATGATGGGGCGCCCAAACGGAAAAGATTCCTATGTCTTGTTCTGCTCATAAAATGCAAACTGAAGGTCGGACAGCCTCAGTTGGCCTAGGGGCTGTACAGGGGAAAAAGGGATTACCTCTTCAACCACCACTCCGCTATTCAAACCCACCTTCCTTCTTTTATTACGAGCACGGAGAAAATAACGTGCCCTTTAAAACACAGACACTTTCCTCCCGCTTAAAAATGCTAACAGCAAACCGGGTAACCTGTTTTGGAGTAGCAAGATTCAGGCCGACGTGCAGAATTCCCTCTCTCCCTTCCCTGCCTGACCCTGCAGTTCTACTATCCTGCAACACTTTATTATTTCATTTCCCAGCATGGAATTGATGCCACAGGGGTGGAGAGGGGACATGAGCCAGACCTGCTGAGTTGCTGTGCAAGTGTGCCTTCTGGCCAAACCTGGGGCTGCAGGGTCAGCAAAGAGAGTACATGTGCTCTGCCGCGGTCCTGCCCTTACGTACTGCACAGCAGAGTCTGAGCTCTTGGCGTCCACTAGATTCACCATCACGTTGCCATCGATGTCATGCCCAAAGGTCACCTCTGGCTTCTTGCTCAACAGGCTGGCCGCGGTCCGAGCGTCCACGTTTTGCTGGAGACCCCCCATGGTGTTCCCGCGGTTGGTCAGGATGAACCGGTAGTGAGTCTGGGGCTTCAGGTTTGTGATCAGCTTCTTGGTCGCGCGGCCATCCACCTCAATGTCTTTCCCACCGTTGTCGTACTGGATCTAAAAGAGCCGGAAGAAAAGGAAAAGGGGTAAGAAAGGAGAACGGAGAAAAGTGGGGTAGGGGACATGGTTGGGGATTCTTCAGTACACGACACATCCAGCTTTTAAAGTCAATGAACTGTTTGTTTTATTTAATTCTATGGAAACGAAGCCAACCGAAGACTGGGAAACTAGACAAGCATTTTAAGACTGAAACAGAACCGCACACCCTCCTTCCAGCAATTGTTCTCCAGGCCAGTTTGGCCAGGGATCCTGGAGGGTTTCTTTTTTTACGCCATCTTCTGGGCATGGAGCAGGGTTCACTGGGGGCATGGAGGGGGAGGTATTTGTGAATTCCCTGCATTGTGCAGGGGGTTGGACTCTATGGCCCCGGAGGTCCCTTCCAACTCTGTGACTCTGTGATGCTATGATGAGAGATGGCCACTGATCAATTCAGAATCCCAGTCTGAGCACATTTAAAACCGCCTCTCTGTTCTTCACACGTGCCCCTCAGCAGCGACAGAAAGGCCGAGAAACATTTTAAGAGGTGCGCTGTGAATTCGTAGGAGGCCAAAGTCTTCTGAGATCCCTGTGATGACAGAGCGGCTGATCTGAAAGCAAGTGTAAATGCCTTCTGATTGATCAAACCCTTGGTCAGGAGGAAACGACGACGCGGGTTGCTGGGATGAGAGGGAATGCCATCCAGCTCTTGGGACTGAAGCCGTTTGGTTGGAGAGTTTCATCATTTTTGTAATTCTGAACGGCATTATTTGTGTGTGTGTGTGTGTGAGAGAGAGAAAGCCACTGCGGAGACCCCGAGGTCAAAGGCAGATGAACTGTCTCTTCCCCCCCCACAGCCCCCATGTTGTTATGATGGATGCTTGGTGAGACGCTGTCCATAAAATCCAGCTTCTTATCATTCCGTCACACTCTAGTGCAGTGGTGGCGAACCTATGGCAGTAGTGCCAGAGGTGGCACTCAGAGCCCTCTCTGTGGGCATGTGTGCCATCGCCCCAGCCAGGCCCAGACCATCATTAAAGTGTCGAATTCTCTGCCAAATAACTTTAAGTCAAAGAAAGCATTTGGGATTGCTTTCCTTACTTTGTTTGGATCATCTTAAGTTAATGTATGAGTGGTTTTTTCTAAAGTAAAACCTCAGTATTCAGGTTAAATTGCCGTGTTGGCACTTTGCGAAAAATAAGTGGGTTTTGGGTCGCAGTTTGGGCACTCGGTCTCTAAAAGGTTCGCCATCACTGCTCTAGTGCAAACAGGGAGCAGAACCCAAATACGGCCATGCAGGGAAAGGGGCAAGAGTGCAGTTAGATTCCATGGATCCACCCTGCTCAGTAGTGGATCCTCTCTCCTTTGGTGAAAGGAGCCGCACTTGTCCGAGGAAAGCTTCCTTGTGCCAGAGCACCATCAAAGGTTTTTAATTTTTTTTTAACATTTAAGGAAACAGTATAGGAGAACTGTGCCACATCTGTCATGCAATTTTGGCACAGACTACTCAATAGGAGTGTACGGCCTATGGGCTTTTAAAACCTAATAAACTGAACCTTCTGCCAGAGCAAAGGGTGTAAAGGAAGGAATGCAAAGGATTCACCCCCCTGAGACTTAATAGTATTTATTTATTTATTTTTACACTTATATCCCGCCCTCCCCAGTGGGCTCAGGGTGGCTAACAGAGGCCAGATCATTAGTCTAGCCATAAATAAAAACATATAAAAACATAATAAAAACATCACAACTAAGACTAAAGTGCTCTATCCAGTTGCTAGTGTCCTAGATCCAAGACCCCACGACTCGAGCTGGTATTCTCAGCGTACATATCCAGTGGTGAGTGACGGCCTTTCCGATATAATTCCAAGTTCTTCCTAGGGCCCTGTCAATGCATCCATTCAGGTGTCTTGACGGTGGTGGTATAGTAGGGCGGCGACTCCTACTCAAAAGCCTGGCGGAAGCGCTCCATTTTGCAGGCCTTGCGGAACTGCTCAAGGTCCCGCAGGGCCCGGATCTCGCCCGGGAGCTCATTCCACCAGGTAGGAGCCGCCACCGAAAAAGCCCTAGCCCTGGTCCATCAACAGCCTGGCTGCAGCATTCTGCACCAGCTGCAGCTTCCGGATCTGCGACAAAGGCAGCCCCATGTAGCTTGGATTACCAGCCCAACCCAAGATAGCTTCTAGCTGAGCTAGAAGGGGTGATGGGGGTGGCGCACGGGGTGGAGGTGGAAACGACAACAACACCCATTCCTAATCCTCTTTTTGGGGCTTGGGGGTGAAGGTCACTTCAGGGGAACACAAAAAGCTAAGTGGCATTATAATTCCAAAAAAAATCCATACCCTGTACGGAATAGGAGAGTTGTAATTTTCGGGGAACTCCCATCCCAGGAGAACCGACGTCTTGGTGACCATCTTCACTTTGAAGTTTTTGGGCAGAACTGTTGGGAAAAAAGGCAATGAGGGAAAGGGAAGGAGGCGAGAATGGGTGGGAAGGAGGGCAGTTGGATCCCACCAGTATAGCGACATTTACACACACACACACACAGAGCTGTGCTTTCTTCCAACCTTGATCACCAAAGAGTTTTGAAACAAGAGAAATCTGGCCACGCCACCTCCCCCAACCTATCCCACTGCATCATCAACAAAAATAGCTACACGGCTGCTGATTGGCTGCTGAGGAGAAAGAGTCCCTGGAGGAACGAAACAATTTTGAAGATCCTTCAATTTGCTGGGGGGTCTTTTCCCCACCTTCCCCTTTTGCTGCTTGCAAAACAAACAAAAAGAGAGAAAGAGAGAGAGAAAGCTGAGGAAAGGCTCCGCCCACCTGTGATAGCGAGTGCTCCGCCCAGCTGTCAATCAAGAAGGGCTGTCTAGACTTGACTTTTGGAAGGAAGAGGAAAAAGGGACTTACCTGTTGAAGGCAGAGAGAAGCGATCTGCCCTTTCAATTTTGGGTGTTTAAAAAAAAAAATGTACTCACACGCCCATTTTCCAACAAATGACTATTGGTTAATTTATTGTGTTTCTCTGCCTCCTGGTAGCAGCTCAGAGAACAAGGAGAGACACAGAGGAGAAACCGGCAAGTCCTACCTTGGTCCAGAAGGAATGTCCGGTATTGGACAGTTGGGCTGTACGGCCCGGGGCCTTTATTGGTGTGGGCTCGGATTTTAACATCATAGGCGGTGTTGGGCTTGAGGCCGTTCAACACGTATGCGTTCTCGGGAGACGGGGGAAGTTCTTTTTCCTGTGGGTTGCCGGAAGATCCGGCCTCCCGGTAGGCCACGGTATACTTGACAATCACCCCGTTTCTCTCGGCCAAGACAGGGGGCAACCAGTTGAACTGCACTGATCTGGAGGTGACGTTGCTGGCCTCGAGGATTTGGGGGTAACCTTTGGGCACGTCTTCCGGTATGGTGAGCTCCTGCATGGCTTCCTCCCCAAAACCGGCCCGACTTTTCACAGCCAGCTTGAAAACGTAGGTGGCGCCCTTGTGGATGCTGGTGGCAGTGTACTTATCCTCCTGGGCCGTGAACTCCAAAGTGGCCAAGGGATCGATGTCTTTGCGGCCAAACTGCAGGCGGTACCCCGATACTTGGCCTTCCGCATCCAAGGGGGGCTCCCATTTTACAAGGAGGGTGTTTTCTTGGGTCTGGTGGACAGACAGGATTGGCTTTCCTGGGACTACGGAAAACAGAAGAGAGGCAGCCTTCAGGGATCTTTGAAAAAGAAGCACCCTTCAAAAGTGTCAGAACCTGGGAGACCTGCGTTTAGCGGAATGTATAGTATGAATAGTTATCACGTTTCTGCCACAACAAATACACAAAATGACCATTTCTGGGGAAGACCCTACTTGGAAACTAAACATTCATCTGACAGGAACAGCGTGAGCTTTGATGTTTCTCTGTTTAAAAAGAAAACCAGAACGTACTCTCAGTTAGTCTGGAAAAATATGTTTATTTGTATAACAATATGCGACTGATGTTGCTCCAAAGGAGAGACTGGGACTGTTGGAAAGAGTCATCCTACATGTTTTCTAGAGAACACAAGAGCCATGAAAGACCCCTGGGAGATGAGACCATGTCCTCTGAACAGTGGCTGGCTAAATGCTTCTGAGAAACCCACAAGAGGGCTCTGTTTGTTTGCTCCCCCCAGAACTGGTATTCAGAAGTAGACCCCCCCCTTAATGTGGCTGTATGCTAGGTACAGTAAGAAACCTTAAATCATGCCCCTCAATTAGTAATCTAATTCACAGTTCTTACAGCCAACTGCACATCCCGTTTTGCTGCCCATCTACCTGGTTTGGATGGACCCCTTTTGGATTTCTGCTGTCTGCTGGGGTTTTCATCATCATGAACAAACAAGCTGGTATCATCTACGAAGCTCACCACCCTTCCTCCCTGATTGTAGATCACTGATAATACATTAAATACCGTTGATCCCAACAGAGATCTTCCGGGAACTTAACTAACCACCTCTCTCCACTATAAGAATCATCTGTCTTTGCTGGCTCATGGTTTCCTATTATTTAACTAATTATTGACCAACAGGATCCTTCCAAAGCATAGAAGCCTTTTGTGGGGGACTTTTTAAAAAAGGGTGTATTTTAAAAAAGAAAAGAAAAGAAAAACGGGTATATAATATTTAGCAGCTTCTATCTACATGCTTAGCGATATCCTTAAAGAATGCCAAATGGTCAGTAAGCCAGAACTTCCCTTTGTAGAAGCCATGCTAATTCTCCTTCAACAAGGCTTGTTCTTCTGTACGTTTTTTTCTTTCAAGCTTTACATTTACCCAGAATGGTCACAAGGCTAAAGGGTTTGCAATTTCCTAGTTCCCTAGGATCCCTTTTTAAAAAACTGGTGTTATATTGACTATCCTGCAAGCCACTGGCAAAGTGGTCAATTTTAGGGAATAGTTGTGCATTTTTTGTTAAAAGAACAACAATTTCACACTGGAACCTGCCATTCTTAGAACTTTATCTCTTGTTACATTGATCTGACTTTGTTCTTCAGACTTCCCAAAACGCAAAATATCTTCCTCAGAGGAAACCAATGAAAAGAATTAACTCTGCTTCTCTGCAATCCGCCTATCCTCTTTCAGATAGGATCTCTGAACACCTTTGTGCTTTATTCTTCAGACCCCTTCCTTGCTGGTTTCTTGTTTCCAATGTATTTCACAGTTACTGTGCTGATTTTGTTTTGTTTGTGTTGATATTTTTAGCAATACGCCTAGTAAATTCTCTTTTTGCTTGCCTTATTGTCAATTAACATTGGCTTCACTAGAGCACGTTCACATTTCCACAAGAATGCTATTTCCAAAGGCAGCCTCTTCCCTTTTATGCCTTTCTCAACTTTGCTCATTCACCATGCTCTTGACTTTGCTCATTCACCATGCTCTTGGACCTGATGGTACCTGTCCTAATTTAAGCATCACATTGTTTTCGGTAGAGAGATCTGGTCCTCTTAGCTCTGCCTTTCAACTTTCCTGGAACTGTGCCTCTCATATTTTTAAAGACCCCTCTTTTGAAACCAAATGCAACTGTGTCAAGCTGTTTGGTTGGCTTGGCACTGTAGCCTTTGTTCCCAGTTGGTTCAACAATGCTTACACTTTGCACCAAGTGCTGGGAAACCACTCAGGATTAAGTTCTGGGTCATCTCCCCTCTCGTGAGTTCCACAACCAATTGTTCCAAGGCACAGACATTTACCGTTACCAAGATACGGTGTCTTTTTATGCTACCTAAACGTACATTTACCTAGATAATGTAAAGGTAGCTGAAGTCACACATCCTCGCAACTGCTTCAATGTACCACTGAAATCAATATTTCATTCTGTTTTTAATGCCTTGCCTGAACCCTGAACACAACTGTTATCAGAGGTCATTTCGGGGGGGAACGCGGGGGAACGCAGTTCCCCCGGCTGAGGTACGGGGGGCGGGGCACATTACGAAGCCCCGCCCCCTGCTTCCGGCCGCCCCGCTTCCGGCCCTCATTCAGCCAGGAGAAGAGGGAGGGTAAGTTGCTCCCTCCCTGCCTCTCCCCACCCCTGCCTGCCTGGGGCCAGGGAGGGCCTTTGTGGGGCTTCCTTGCACTCCCGCCGGCCTTGCAGGTCCACCGCCGGGCCCCTCATGGGGCTCGGCAGTGGAGCTGCAAGGCTGCCAGCGGCGGCCAGGACCGTTAGGGGCGGGGGGTGTGGCCTTATGACACACTTCTGGTGATGTCAGGGGGTGTGGCATATGCTAATGAGTTATGCTAATGAGTTCCCCTAGCTCTTTTTCTACGAAACGACCCCTGACTGTTGTTATTATTATTGTAAACAGCGATGTGGCTCCACTGGTATATTTTGTGTATTCAGAATCTTACAATGCTGCCTCTGAAGGAGCTCACAGTCTAAACATCAGTCCCGTATATGTTAATGTGTCCAGTAGCACTCTAAAGACTAACAACATTTGTGGCAGGGGATGAGCTTTCATGAGTCACTGCTCACTGAAGAAGTGAAAAGTTACTCACGGAAGCTCATTCCCTGCCACAAATTTTGTTAATTTTTAAGGTGCTGCTGGGTTCTTGCACTTTTCTGCTCCTATGGACACGGCTACCCATCTTGATCTACGTGTGCTCATGTGCACGCACTGGTGGAGTGTCAGAGACAAGAGGAGTGCATATGTAAGCAAATGTAGCCACACATGGTTAGGATTCATTCCAGTAGGCAACGAGGACTGAGGAGCTCAACCAAACGTTTCCTTGAAAAGATGGGTTTTGAACTAAAATCTGGATGAACAAGAGAGAGAGAGAGAGACAGACAGACAGAGAGACAGAAGGAGATCATTTTAGGTGTCCTGGTAAGGAACACCAGGCCAAAGGGCACTAAGAGAGAACAGGTGTAGTTGTTTAAAGGGTGAGGAGACTTTGGAGAGAGCTGAAGGTGGCAAAAGTAAAGAGGTTTAAGCACATACACAGAGATATCTCAGAATGCAAAGGCAATGTACAAGGTGTATATTGTACAATGTACAGGCATCAGACAATAGCACTACAGATAAGATTAGAATTTCAACAACCTCCTCAGGAAAGCTCCTCCATTAGCATGTCCATAGCCTGGGGAACTCCTACAAGACAATGACTCAGCCCTACCCACCTTCTGGAGTAGATATAAATTTACTGCCTACCATTTTCTTCTCACCTTGACACAGAGAGTACTCCATCTTTCTGTGTTTATACCTCTGAGGATGCCAGTCACAGTTACTGGCGAAACGTCAGGTTCTACAATGCCAAGACCACGGCCACACATCCCGGAAAATCTACAGCAAGCAATGTACAAGACTTTTCAGCTTGGTTATGGAAAATGGGGGTGGTGGTGATGATGCCATCTTGGTGTTCTGCAGGGTGTGTGTGTGTGTCGCAGGTGTAAGGGCCAGGAAGGGAGAATGGTGAACCCATCTGAGGGAACAGGAAATCTGTGGGACTCTGAAAAAGAGTACCAGGTATAAAAGGCAGCAAGAGAAAGCTGGCGGAACAATTTAAGGGAGAAGGAGGAGGCTTTAAGGCAGGGGTGTCGAACTCATTTGTTATGAGGGCCGGATCTGACGTAAATGAGACCTTGTTGGGCAGGGCCACGTGTGTCATAAAATGTAATGCCAGGTAGCGGAGATATAAACTTCATAAAGGACACAAACACAAAGGCTTTTTTTTAACTTAAAATAAAAACATGCTTCAAACATCAGCACTCTTGCAACATTTTGTTTATTTAACAGTCTCTGATAACTGATACCTCTTGCTCTCAATGATTGCATCAAAATGCCTGTGCTGTTGCAATCTTGTTCAGGTGTGTATCTGTAAGCTGCAAACCTACGATGACGCAGCAGCAGCAGCAGAACTGGGAGAAGAAGCAGAAGACAGCCAGTTCCACTGCGGGCCTGATAGAAGCCCTCCGGGGGCCTGAGCTGGCCCCCGGGCCGTAAGTTTGACACCCCTGCTTTAAGGGATCTGAGGATGGTGAAGTTACAGCGGAGGTCATAAAGAGGGACACCCTGGGACAAAACAGCAGAGATCAGTGGTTTCAGCTTCATTAAGGGAGGGAGAGAGAAGTGTTGCCACGTAGTTCTTTTGGACCTGAGTTTTAAGCACAGGACAACAAAGATGGATGGGGGGAAAAAACAAATACATTCCCATTCCTGAGACGTGTATTTGACCCAACAGCAGAGAGCACGTACAAATGTCAGCTACCAATTTGAAAGACCTGAGAAGGGGGGAAAAATGTTCCCTAAAATTGAAAAAAAAATATTAGGGATTTGAAGCTAGAGGTAATTGAGTTTTTGGGTAATAGCTTATCTGCCAGAGAAATAGCTCCTCGGCAGTGGATGAGAATTCATGACCTGCTTGTGATGAAAAGAGATCTAGGAAGAAGGAAGCAAGGAGCAAACAAGAGGCTGGATCTTTACAAAGGCAGGGAGGATCAGGGCTTGGAAGGGGAACGCCCCACAGGAAAACGGGGTACCTTTCTCTGGAGATGCACCCTGGGGGTGCGTGCCCTGTACAGGCAGCTGAGTCAAGTAGCCGATTACCTTTCCGGGATGCACCACTCCAGTACCAGTTTAAATGTCCCTCCCAATAAAAAATATCTTTACTTTATACGCAGGAGTTGCAGAAAGTCTTTTTAAAAATGGCGGCCCTTTTGCTCTCCCCCAGGT